ATCACTGCCGGCAGCTTTGCCTGTTTTCAATTTGTTAATTGCCTCAATTATCTCCTGCTGTTCAATTGGCGAGTCTAAGATTGATTGAGTTAAGTCATCAAAATTGTTATCTGGCACAGTGTTATCTTCATCCCCCATTTCTGAATCGAACAACCCCTTAAAATGTGAAAACCATTGCTCAATATTTATATTTGGCTTAGGACGGACAGTGGTAGCAGACAGACGTTTCAAATTTGCCCAAAATATTTTACTGTTATCCAAGTTAGTCAAAATGGTACTCTGTACATTGTCTTGATATAACTTCTTTTGTTGACGGATAACATGTGTATAAGTATTTCTTGCCTTAATATAGTTACAAAGTGATGACGAATCTTTTAGTGATCGGAAAACCGTAAGAAGCCTATATCTTTCACAGCGGTGGTATTCACACTCCTTATCGAACCATGGCTGTTTACTTCTAGAAATATAAGAAGGGCGTTTCATACATTTCGCAGTGGTACATAAAACATCTGAAAATACCTCAACTGCTTTATCAATTTTACCTGAAGCGATAAAATCTGAACACTTGTCAAGCATTGAATAAGAATTTGTAGACAGTAAACTGTCTCTAAAAGTTTGAGTTTTGTCCTCGTTCCACACAAAGCTGTAGCTGTCCCCTGGGTCTCGTGCAACACGCTCACGGTCTCTCGATCCAGCTTTGGCACGTGCGTGAAATGAACATGTAACTGGCATATGGGTCGACTCTGTTCTATTTGCAATGTCAAACTGTTTGCACAACATAAACAATGAAGGGGATGCAACAATATAGTCGATTACGCTTGTGCCATTGTGGCTGATGAAGGTATAGTCACCTTTTGCCGTGTCTGATCCACATCGGCCATTGAAAATTCACAAATTCAAAGCACTACATACGTTTAGTAAAATCTTACCAAGGCGATTAACAGTAGTATCACAAGAGAAACGTTTGGTGATCACGTTGCCATACATATCAGAAGGTTCCTGGATGCCAAGCCTTTCAGCAATATCACTCTCTGCGGCATCGGGCTCATTACCGGTTCGGGAATTAAAGTCACCTCCAAGCATGATAAACATATCACCATATTTTTGTATAACATCTAACAAGGATTCAAATAATAAACTTATTCCACATTTTGTTGGTTTACCTCTGTACCAAGTTGACCCATCAGGATTGACATAAACACAAGCTACCAATACATCTTTTTCTAGCTTAAATACCGATTTATCCAAAATAACATATATCACATTCTGTCCAATAATGTGCTCTTTGACATAATTGACTAGAGACTTTCTAATAAGTACTACAATCCCCCCCGATAATCTCCCAAAAGATGACAATCTCTCTGCAGACAAAACATATGGCTGGTAATCACCGAGCTGTTGATCAAAATCACAGTCCTTGGCCCATGTTTCTGTGAGTCCAATAAAGTCAAACTGTGTGATATATGAAACAAATTCATCGTCTAAAAGTTTATTAGTAATACCGGAAATGTTCCAGAACAAGAAATCTGAAATTGATTTAGTAACACAGCGATAATCCGGGCCTCGGCCACACCTCTATTTATCATTAGTATCTGTGTCCTGCCTATCTGAATGCTGTTGGTAATCCTTAACTACAAGGGCACTATTCTTGTAGTAGCCTTGCTTGTTGTTACGTCTCAAATCCTGGAGTACTTTCCTCTGGTGTGTGGTGAGATCACTGCCTATACCATATCCACTCTCCTTCAGTTTATCGCGCAGGCCTAATGCTCCCACTTTGCAGTCCATAGAATTGAATCGAACTACAATAGGTCTCGGGCGATTAGACTTTGCATAGCCAATCCTATGGGCGTTCACAATGTCAGTTGCTGAAAATGGAGTACCTTCATTATGGGTGTTCAATGTTTCGCAAATAACTTCCTTTATGTTCATTTTATTTTCATCAGGTTTCTCAGCGACACCATACAGCAGTATATTCTGCTTCCGGCTGTACTGTTCTAGTTTATCCACAGTATTCTCAAGGTTGTCAATCTTATCGGTAACATAACTATATGCTGACCTGTCTAAAGTAGAACTATGCTCCTCAACACAAGCGACACGTTCAGATAATGCATCTATGTCCAGCCGTAGTATTTCCTGTTGGCTTTTCATATCTGCTATTTGTAGTTTGAGTTCATCCACGGACTGATTCAATTTACGTGTGTCAGACTTTATATCACGGATATCCCTAGAAAGTTCACACTTCATTGCCCGAAGCTCTTGTAAAATCTCATCTTTACATGTTTGGAAGTCAACCTTTGGAGGCCCCGGGTTTAATTCCACATCCCCTGAGAGAAGCAAACGAGTATGTTGATGAATGATTGTAGCACTCACCATAGTCATTGTGTAAAGGACCAGACATGTTGCCATGAGCCGGTAGCACATCTTTGTAAACGGTGTCCATTCCGTCCTGGGGTTGTAATTACCAATATGGCCGACCTGTCTCGTACCTCGAGGGTGGGTGAAAGTGCCGATTCGCACTCTCCAGACTTCAATACATATACCCATCGTGAGTCAGGAGCGTCTTGGGTATGTTAGAAACCAATATGTCCTCACCAGATGTTGATGGTGGCCTTTGGTTTAACTTAAATTACAAAATGCGACGGACCCAAGTTTTGACCAACCGCCCTGTCCAAGGGAGGTCACTGGCTGATTATAAGAAACACCGCACAATTGTTTAAGGACGTAACAGCAAATTACAGTACGATAGGGGGCCTAGATTTATCAGTCGTCAAAGGCGCCGCAATTAACTGTGCAGGGTTGCGTCCCATGACAAACTATGATCGTGGGTTTCACCGAAGTGGTAAAGGTCTGAGATCTGCATCACTTCGGCCTTTCCTCCCACATAAAGCTGACACGCCGTGATATAACTGGAATACTGTTCAAAGCGGCGTGAAAGCCAAACTCGCCCACTCACTACAGACCTATACCGACCATATATGATTGTTGTCATATAGTCATCACTTGCTGAAGGGCTGCTATTTGAAATACTTTGTAAAAAGAACAAATACGTCCCTTTACTTATACCGTGATATATATTTACTTATGATATAAAAGCTAAATATAGAAAAGAATCCGCGATAATCTGTCAAAGTTTGCTTTAATAGATGGACTACACAATTGTGTTGCAGGTAATGTCAAGTATACCTAAAGGCGATGTTCTGCGATTCATTAATTCTATTTAACACCCTAGTCGTCACACTCAACGCATGCCATTTCAATAATTAACTCGCTTACAACAAATGTTAAATCTCCAGGTAACACTGACATCTGGAGGTATAATGGAAACACAACGCTGTTACCAATGCTGAACAGCCGAAATCAATAATACTGGAACTGATGAGGATAGAATTGAATTACAGTAAACTACGGTTTAGGGACTACTAATTTTAGTTCGTTATAACCGTAGTTCGTTATAAGTACATATACAGCATGACTACAGCAAGTAGTCGGGACCAAAAAGTAAGTTCGTTATATCCGTCAGTTCGTTATAAGCGTGTTCGTTATAACCGTAGTTTACTGTATATAAGAAAGTTTTTGCTTTCTAAATCCTTGGTGGTAATCAGTTTCCGATAATTAATTTGGGATGTTGTTGGTTGTAAATTTGCGAATATTAAAAGTTTGTGTTGTGGTATATTTTGAACAGAAACATCTGCAAAGATATGATGTTAAATTTTTGTTTGAGGAATTAACCAAAGTTTTAAACACGCAAGATATTGCCAATTAGGGTAAATGACGTCATGGATGAAACTGTCGCAAATAAACAAGATAGCGATTCATTGTGCCTTGAGCATGGTTTCGTGGATCTGAACTACCAGCCTCCAGGATAATCTTACTTCAATATTCATTTTCAATGACCGCCGTGATATTGCTGGAATATTGCTAAAAGCGGCGTAAAACCATACTCAGTCAGTCAGTCATTTTCAATGTATGAACAATAGTTAATTCCCTAGGTCCACTGACAATAGACAAAGTGGTCTTGCGAGTTTATAAAAGAATGAACATTGTACAATGAATTATTTACCAATGACGTCAAGCCGCATCGCACAGCTGATGATTGACGAACACGCGCCCGGATACAGAAAAACACACGCATCCTCCACTATCACTGCTATACTAAACGACATGGCAACACTCATCATACTCTGTATACTGGTAATACTAACGTCTCTATGTGCAACCGGTCAATTGCTTCTTGTCATGCCGACGTCATCACACATTCAGTGTAAAGCCCTGTGTGTCTATTTCACCCGGTGTGCCGTGTACAGATGGGGTAGAGGGGCGTGTACCCTGAATTCCACCCCGCATGGCGACCAAACAGATGTTTTTTCCTCCAGAACAGATGGGTCTAGTCACTCCATCAACGAAAACGTCCAGGTGAGTGCGAGATTGTAAATACAATTATAAGAGGTTACAAGAGAGGACCAATACAGATTGAGATAAATTAGAATAAAGATAAAAAGAGATAAATAAGAATAATTTATTTCTAGTTAAAAAATTACTCATGATATTTCCATGTATGCAAAATTAACAAATCTCTTTTTCTCAAAGTCCGGATAAGTCGATATCTGTTAAATTGTAATAAAAGTACACATATTTCCATGTTTGCAAAATTAACAAATCTCTTTTTCTCAAAGTCCGGATAAGTCGATATCTGTTAAATTGTAATAAGATAAAATAAATCTATCGAGATCATCCAGCATCTGAAAACCTTTAGCTGACCGTCCTTTGCCGAAATCATGACGTCATAAGTGATATCATGGTCCCCTGTGCAGATACTTTTTTCCTGAGACATTATAATGAAGGAACACACGAACCCAGGTTGTGTACTGTAACAAGTCCAAATATTCTAGAATTATCAGTATTAGCAGTTGTTAACGTAATCTTTTAGGGGGGTGTTGCAGACTGTTAATAATTTTGATATTGGTTTATTATTTAGACATTTTCCACACGTACATGTGAAGACCGCCCATGCGCAGTTGAAGAAGTTTGCGTCCCAGTGACCACTGGCACAGCTCACATATGCCTCCCGGCGCCACCGTGTTACATTCCCACGTCCACCTCTACGCCAACTCCATCTTCAATACAGCCAGTTGATTATCCTACTACTCCGGAAACTGACCCCTCTGTCGCAACAGCTTCGACTACTGTCGAACACACCGATGTCGACATACCCACTGACACTACTATACCCTCAGCTGATACTACTTCCCTCACACCTAAGGCAACTACTACATCTGCTGCAATGACGACAACTACTACTGCCCCTGCAGCTGCTACAACAGGTGAGGTCAGGTTGACAATGTTGTGTTGTTTCTGCACAGTTTGTATGGGTTCATATTTCGCCATTTTGGGGAATGGCATGTTTCGAAAACTTCAAATCTATTATTTGTTCTTCCCGAATAGTGAATTCAAGTAGTATAGGTAATGATGGTTCTGCCGCAACTCCACTGGAGCCAGATTCATATACCTATACTGCTACTACAGGGGGGATTTTTTATGTAAAAATGATTGTGCGATTCAAAGATAGTCATGAGATTAAGTTAAATTGGCTCTAGCTCACCAATACCTGGAGCCAATCATTGCTTTAGATGAGCCTAAATGGTAATAAAAATATTCTTTATTATTTTTATCAATAAAGTGATATTCAACATTTTTATTAAGTTCTTCGTTCATTTTACTAGGAGACCAGACTATATAATTACACTCTTTTTGTAAATTGATAAGAAACAATTGATAACCGTATTTGGTTGGTTTGACATCACTGATATAATAAAAACCTTGTGGTAATTCTCTCCATTTAATAGCTTTTTCGATTGTTGTCTCCATTATTATATATTTATGTAAGCATTTGTCTATATGTGATCTAACGATAGTAAGCAATCTATTTTTAATCTCCAACCAGTTCTTTGGTTTTGGCACGGAATAATTGACGCGCTTGTTGCCTCCCCTGTTCTATGAACTTTTTTTTCTCGTCTTCGCTAATACCATTGGTCTTACGAGATTTTGATCGAATCTCCTGCTTCATTGCGTTGTATTTGGTGAGTTCTGACAACACTAAACGAAACTCATCCTCGGATATCTTACAATCGACCATTGCTGTCGAAATATGATCCTCAATGCAGTTCAACTTTGCTTCGGCGAGTATCCGAATACTATCATGTTTTAATGCTTTCTTTTGTAACCTACGAGAAATGAATTTTATCGCTATTCCTGCCAGTCCCAAAACTCCAGCAGCCATTTCCATGCCGAGCACGATAGGCGCGGCGATTATAGTTGATAGTAAACCGACACCAGCTACACCGAGTCCCATGCCAGCTGCTACAAGTGCGGTGTCTACTACGTCCAGAGCATTCACGGCTCTGCGATACTTTTTATACAATCCAAGTCTCAACTCCCTATCCTTCTCTATTCGATGTTTTATGTCACTTATTTGATGTAATCGAAATCCATCAACAGTATCCATCTTTTCAATTGCTTCATCGAGCGCTGGATATAAACCCATAGTGTATATTACGATCATATTATAGTCTTTAATTGGTCTTGCTTAAATGTTTTGAGAGTATACATCAACCTTATTAAATGTATATTAAACGGCAAGAATATCTTAGTAAGAGAAATACTACCACTTTTAATAATTTGGACCCCCTCGAGGGTTGCAACGGGCGATGCTCCGATATGAATAATACTGCAACGTTGACGCTCGTGATTCTTGAGCCATTTAATCGATAGACCTGGTAATATTTCGAAAGGCATCTACCGGTACATCTCCGAACAAGACTTCAATAATAAGCGTAGAAAGATTAGGTATTGCACTCAAGTTCACTTTAATTTCATTGAGTTCAGTAACCAAATTTAAACTAACATTTTTTACTGCTGGACGACTATATAACATATGACCTGGGTTTTCTGGCAGGGGAGAGACTAACACACTTTTTCGTTTTGATGGGATATAAGCCCCGAGTACGATCCCACTATTTATTATCTTAGTTAAATTATGTGCCTTACCCATCATCACATCGTCGTTGCGAGTAAGATTGTACGAAGTGTTTTTCTTAAGGAGTCTACTAACAACGTCGACATCGCTAAAATCTTCTAGATTACCCGTGAATGTAACTTCTTTCAGATTGTATACTTTATCGTGTAAGTGTAAAGCGTATAACTTACCATCGGTACCGGGTTTACCGAATCCTTCTGTGTCTCCGAGATAAGAAAGCGCAATTGTATTACATTGTCTGAGCGTTCCAGGGCCTGATGCATCAATCATTATTTATAATATGGAGTGTTACACTTAAGTATCCTATATGTACAGGTTGGTGTTTTACATCTAATACAGACATTTTGAGGTCTGAAATAATACCCCGCTTTAATTTTTTATATTGTAATGTTGAGAAAGATTCCGTTCTACTGCTATTATATTTTTCATTTTTCACTGGAATAGATCTGAGCAGAGTTGAAGGACTTTCTAGTTGAATATTATTCGTCGTGCTTATTTGATCAAGATGGATGCACAACTCTTTATAGGGAATTAAATCGGGTAATTAAACCCCCTGATCTGATGACCTGAATATTCCTAAAATTGCGCGTGTAAATCCAAGTGTAGCTGATAAGTTCCCTACAATCTGTACACCTTTTTCTCCAGAGTCGAATTTCAACATCCCATTCGACTCATTTTGTGTGAGACTAGCTCCATTAGGCTTAAAAACTTCATCATTGAGTGAGCATACGCTGTAATACCCATCAGGTATGATAATGAATTTGTCAATAAAATATTTTTCATTTTTTAAAAATACTGTGAAAATCTCATTATTTCTTTTCGCAGCACTAATATTGGTCCACAGCGGGTAATACGTTACATCGCATAGAGCTACTTCGAGTTGTCCATCTGAGTTATAGATAGTATGAAGCAGTTGAATAGACTGACCATTTGTTATTCCGGGGAGTGTAACATACATATTAAATATACAATGATACTATATCATAACTTAAATATGAAATCAACTTACATTACTAATCAATCGATTATAGTAACTGCCTCTGGTGCTGAGTTTACCGTTAAATTCCACGATATCTTTGAAAAATACAGTTTCACGGCAACTAACGATACAATGGTGGACGATTGGTTTAACCGTCTGATGCAATTTTGGCAGAATCAGTTAAACTTTGCCGTATGGTGTGCCACAACGGGATGTGGCGTATCTGTTAATGCCCCAGGATTTAAAATGTATAAGTCTGTTATATTATTTCACGTGTACTATCAGATTAGACTATACTTAAAGAAATTATTGCTCCATTACTGCTGGATCCAGCATGGAATCACGCAAATAATCATTATAGTAACAGGGCCTTCGAACGTATTTGTAATGAATTTAATGTTTCTACGAGTAAAGATTGGCGCATTAAAGGACCTAGGCATGGTCTAGGTATTCCGTACAATGGACAAAGAACTATTAAAGATAAAAGCGATTATTTAATTAAAGAGGGTGTGATCCCTTCAGGCTTTGCTCTCTCGAGTAAACAGTTTAGAGCAGATCGTATGAACTTTGAGAGTGGCATTCCTTATATTATAACAAAGTTTGTGCATCCAAACGATACAACAGACGCTTGGAATGAATTTCCTTAATGATAAAACGGAAAATAATTTTACTAACCCAGGATTTCAAAGAGTTAATGAATCGATAAGAACTTATGTATGGGCAATTCTCAGTGCACGATCGCAAACACGAACGTCCATTATTGGTACTGGGACGGCGTTCGATGCACAAAAACAGTTTGTCGCAAACGTGGAGGACGCCATTAATTCACCAGTTGACATACCATCATCTATAAAGCGTTTTCAAGATGTATTACAGTACGCTCAATCCAAAGTGGACTTCGTTTATGCGCCGGGGTTATACATGGCTCCGAGTAATATGGAACTTAAGATCGGTCAAGTGATAGGCTATAATAATAAAATTGTTATTGCTACCGATCAACAAAAACCAGGTATAAATTCAGATATTAACGTCGAATTAATAACGCAAACAATCACAGGCGAAAAGGGAATAGTCAAGCCGCAAACACCAACTATCGCTCAACCATCTACTATCGCTCAACCATCTACTAATGCACAAACACAAGTGCCACCACATATTGCGGCTAAAAATCAACAACATATCGATGAAAAAGCAGCGCTTGTATTAGGTGGAGTCGCGGCTGGTTTACTCATGATTTGGTTAGCAAACTGATTTGGATAAATAGTTCTTAGCGGATACGTACAACAGCCCTGCAATTGCTACGATCAGTGCCCACAAGTTTTGACTAAGCCAAGTGGTGGTCTTAGCTAATAAATTCAAGAGCCAGGAAACAATACTCCCTATTATACCGGGAAGTGCGACCGCGGCTTTCTCAGCGAGCTTTCCCAGTGCTGAACCTAATGCTTTTAAATGCTTTTTTATCCACTCTTTTATACCATCCGATGTAGGCGGTGATCCACCACTACCATCTGTACCACCTGTGCCACCGGTTAACGCGAGAGTCAAAGTCGATATAATAAATCCCAACGCGGTTAAAATACTGGCAATTGTTATTCCCTCTTCTCTGAACAATGTTTTAATTTTATCGGCCAGTGTAGTGTCATCGTTTAGGACTCGATCGATAGTTTTTCGAATTCGACTGATTTGCGAACGAAGTGCCTCTCTATTAGTGGAAGCAGCCTCAAGGTGGGCCGATCTTTCGTCTTCTAAGTTACGCAATCTTTCCGCTACGCGGCGTCTGCTGAACTCATCGCCCACTTGTTCAAGTTTTGTTTTCTCGTAAACTATATGCTTGTCGATTTCGGATATCTTGGCCCTATTATTGGTGAGTTCTCCCCGCATTGTTCGCATTGCCTTGTCAAGACCTCATAATTCCCTAATACTGACCTCCGAATATGGTGAAACACTGACCGTGGAATTATCGTAGTAGGTACCCAAGATTTCTTCGAGTCCATCCGAGGCCACCTTCGAGGAAGCTTCCAAATTATCTGTGTTACTGAGTTCAGTACGCACAGTCCTAAGAACCTTAGTAGTCTTTGCGGAAAGTTGTGAGTAGTCTACAAAACCTAATTTATCATGAACAGTCCTGATACCGTGTTTACTGGCTATCGTAGACAAGGCTAGGGGCTTATGAGTACGAGAATGCATAAGATCAATATCCGGAGAGCCACGCAATCGCAATATTCCTTTACTATCTATCTCAAACTTTGAATAGTCACGACCAATAGGACTATCATCTTTAAAGGTATTGTAATAATCATCAACGGCTG